AATGACCTAAAATGATCTAAAATGACCTAAAATGATCTAAAATGACCTAAAATGAGCTACAATGAGCTACAATAAACAACATTTAGTGAAGAAATGGTGATATTTTGCATTATCGTACTTGGACACAACAAAACCTGCTCAAAATGTCTCAAAATGTCCGTTAAATAAGCTTTTATAACTTTGAATACCCAACTCAAATATAGCCTGCATCGCATCAGGTGCATTACAGAAATCTAGTTGTCTAGTCAATAAATTATTCTTTGCTTTGCTTTGATAAATGAAAAAAATTCCAGAGTTACGTTTATAGCTAGAACATTTTAATGTTTTGGGCTCCCTGTGTTAACAAATAAACAGGAAGCCCACAAACTTCAAACGGCTCGTTGTTTATTAGTCTCGTTTGCATCCGTTTCCGGTGTCAAAACGCGAAGGATGCGAAGGAGACTAGTTGTTTTGTATTTCGTTTAGCTTTTTTTGGCTTTCATAAACTTGGCTGCAACTTGTGTTTGCACTTGGAGCTCTCAAAATTTCCCAACAATTAATAAATAAACAAAACAAAGTAAACAAAAAAAGATGTAAAGCATAATAATTGTTCAAATATAAATTTAGGAAAGGGTGTTGTTCCAGAAAATAAAGAACTACTATTCTTCTATGGGAAAGTGATGGATGCATGGCATTGATATTTTCTACATACAGATTTTACAACATTTTATTAGAAAAAAATATTTTGCACCTTAACAATAATTTAATTGGTCAAATGATTTGAGGGGAAAATAACTTTGCATGGTAAAAATATTTGATTGGTTCATATTACTTTAAGGGAAAAATTTACACTGCACGGTAACAATCATTTGATTGGTTGAATAATTTGAGGGGGAAAAAACTTTGCACAGCAAAAATAATTTGATTGGTTGATCAAGATTTGAGGAAAAGTAACTTTGTACGGCAACAATGATTTGTCTGGTTTATCATGATTCGAGGAAAAGTAACTTTGTACGGCAACAATGATTTAATTGGTTTATCATGATTCGAGGAAAAATAACTTCACATAGCAACCAAATTTGATTGGTTGAATAWTTTGAGGAAAAAGTGAAGGTCATTACTATCACTATTGTCACTAACAAGCCATCTTGGAGGTAAGTACTTTTTTATGATTTTCTTGGTGTTGGTCCCCTAGATAATAAATACCGGTACTAGTATTATCTAGGGGAACAACATCAAGAAAAAAAGCAGTTTTTTTGACTGCAGAGAGCTGAAACTTCGCATAGATGTGTAATAAATTAAGAACAACATATTGTGTGAGTTTGAATTCATTTTAKKAARATTTYCTACTTTTATTGAATTTTTCGTTTTTCCCCACAAGACCTTCCGAGAAAAGCCGACAAGTGTAGTGCTTGGGCTACCTGTGGTTTTGTTGTGCCCAACAGTACGCCGTATTGAATACAAAATATCACCATTTCTTCCACTAAATGTTGTTTATTGTAGCTCATTGTAGCTCATTTTAGGTCATTTTAGATCATTTTAGGTCATTTTAGATCATTTTAGGTCATTTTAGGTCATTTTAGATCATTTTAGGTCATTTTAGATCATTTTAGGTCATTCCTTCTTTTAGTAACTACGGACGTTTCCGTTAATCGGTTTGTTTTCATGCCCAAAAACAATGATGTCAAATAATATCTCACGTCTTGTTCAGTTGATGGGACTTTATTCCCTTTATTTTAGAACGGCAATCGTCTATTATATGAAAACGTCGCACACGTTTTAAAATCATTTTTGTCGATTGGAGTTTGCATTTATATACGTTGACCGCGTTGTTGATGTTCAGTCTTGATCGACTTGAAAAACTTCAAAACAATAAATTACGTAGACTTTTACAATAATGCGAACTGAAAAAGATGCTATGGCACATGCATTGAAAGAAATAGTATATACAAACATTAGGGAATATCAAAGCCAGGTTTCAGAAGCATATTTGAGCCGCAAAGACGTCTACATTCATGGCCGAATGTCGGTGAAA